AAAAAAAACTATAAAATTTAATGAAAAATGTCCACCTCTACATTAATAAATTTCATGGTGAACATAGCTACTTTATTAGTATCGTCCAATTAAGTCTAGTATTTGGCAAGAAGTGTCAATGACCTGCGGTCGCCCCTTTCCTCGCGTAATTCAGTCGGCACACACAAAATGTTTCACTGTCACTAACTACCTGAACCCAAAACGTAGGCCTATCCCTAAGCCGAAAACCCTAATCTTAACTGAACCCTAAATGACCCCCCTAAATTCTAAACCTAACCTGAACCCTAAATCTAAACCTAACCTGAACCCTAAATCTAAACCTAACCTGAACCCTAAATCTATCCCTAAACCTAACCTGAATCCTAAATCTAAACCTAACCCAAACCCTAAAACTAGCCTCAACGCAAGTAAAATTACACACACTGTGGCAAGAAAACTATGAAAAATGAAGAAAAACAATACAAAATAATTGTAAAATAATTAAATGATGAAAACCCAACTTACAATTTAAATTTCGAAGTGTCTACAAGTCCGACTCGCCGGACAAATAGTGTGGGAGATATACGTCCGGCAGCCATGTCACTTACAGCTGGATGGCAAGTAGGCGTTATTATTCTGGCAGGTCATGTGACAAGTGGTCGCCCGCAAAATAGTTGCATTGCATTTGATGTTCCGATCCCTAGATAATAAATAAATGCTGAACATGTTAATATATTCAAATGCTCTGAGATACATACATGACTTTGAATATTAAACTAGTCGGCCTATATACTAACTAGCAGTACTATTACTACTATTATTACTAGTCTATTTGATTCCGAATCTTCAAAAAAAAAGTCCCTTATCTTGGTTAATACATCTTGTAAAGCTTTACATCGAAGCCTAAATTTAAAATTTGAACAAAATAAAATAAGACCAGTTAACTTCAATAGACCTATGTCAATAAATTTGTATTTCAGGAGTTGTATTTAGTATTGCATGAGAAGTAGGCTAGGCTACCACTATATCGGCCCTATATTAAGATGTAGGGTATATTTCTTTGTGAACTATCGGCCTCCCGGCCTTAAACTTTATTATTTATCACCCTTGCCCTAACTATTATTTTTTTTTGCATTCATATTTTTTATTACCTTAATTCTCTCTCCCTCTCAGCATTGCTTCCTCCCAGAATGCATTATTGCTTAACCCCCATTTCGTTTTGGTAATACCCAAGTATTTTTTTCTATTATTTGTTTGCAAGATACTCAGTAAATTACTTGGTAGAGAAATAGATTTTAAAATTAACAATAGTTTTGAATCATTCTCGGTCACGTGACAAGGCTGACGGACAAATATCTCGCGCCACTTTGTTACAGTGGTCATGTGACTTGGTCGCCGGACGAATATCTAGATTAAAGTATTCTTCCGGCGGTCATGAGACTTGGTCGCCGGACAAATAGTGCGGGAGATATAAGGCGCGCCGGACGCGTAGACACTGCCTTTAAATTTCATGGATTCATGGAATGCTCTTTTACACACTATTTCAGGTTCCACCGAAAAGAATATTCAGAAAATGAATAAAATGCAGTGCCTGTCCATGCATCCAATTCGTTTCAAATACGGGGGAACAATTAACATATTTTAATTACCCAACCAATGAAATTTAAAATTATAATTAATTCACCAATAAAAATTTAATTAAAACATGCCATCGTCATTTTAAGGCAATGTAACTCTATTAACAAAACAAATAAGGGGAGTGAATCCAAAGAAAGAAACTTAACAAAAACACGTAAATGACTTCATGGCACAGTCTTTTTGCATTGATCAAGGTTTGTTACAGTTGTAGTGTAGGCTGTAGTAGTGATTATAATGGTCTTGTGATAGTAGGTAACTTCTTCTTCGTATATTAAGGGCCCATGATCAATGTATTGATCATTCTTTTTGATAATTCTGGCTCCTATATGTATGTAGAGTGATCTGTTGAGGACTTGCAATGTTTCTGAGCCTGTCTGTGCTGAGGATTTTTCACTGGTTGCAAGGTCTGTTCAGCGAGGGTTTCATGTACTGGGGTTTGGAAGGCCTGTGGCTATAGACGCAAATGTTTCAAATTTGTCTCCTCAACTGTTCCTTTTGGAAGCATGTTCCAGTCCTTGATTTTCTTTGGCAGGAATGAGCAGCTCCTGTACTGTGTTCTTGCTGTTATGAGCTGGCACTGCCTGTCATGTCCTCGTCGCTGTCTAGGGGGGAGAGGGACGAGTTTCTGTTTATGCTGGAGCAGTGGACCAGCCCATTATTATCTTGTACATCACCATGGAGAGCTTGGTTAATTGTCTTCTTTCCTCCAATGTCAATGGTGACCAGCCCAGTGTTTCCAGCATGCTGCCAACACTAGAGGTGTTCCTATAGCGGTTCAGAATAAAGCGTGCTGCCCGTCATTGTACCGCCTCCAACCTGTCGATGCTCTGCTGTGTGAATGGATCCCAGACAGAAGATGTGTAAACTAAAAGGGGCCAGACAAAGGCTTTTTAGGCTCTTTCTTTTACACTGGAGTTTCAGATCTTCAGATTTCACCTTAACAACCCCAGGGTTTTGTTTGCCTGGTTGTACACATTGTCAATATGCTTTTATCACATTTAGGCTATCTGAGTGGCTATCAGAATCTGTGTTGGGAGGGGATTCGTCTTTTAACCTCATCATATTATAGCCTATTCTTATTCTTATAACTTATGTCTTCATTGGTCATTGATAAGTCCAAAATCTTAGCAGGCATGAGTCAATGAGAGAGCTGAGAGATGAATCACAAAAAATTTGAAAGTCCATTTTTTGAGAGAGTGATGTTTAAGTTTACATCAACAACTGCTCTCTATTACAAGCCTTGTTGACTTATTACTTTAAAAAAAAGAAGGTAATAAAGGAAGTATGTACCCTTTTATATTTACTACTTGACTGCTACTTGTCATTTGTTTCCGTCTCATCACCTCCTTTTTCCCCCCATTTTTTCTGATTTGATGTATTATATTTTTATATTTGATTGATTCTGTTTTTTCTGTTGTTTTTTCGCTGATGAAGGCTTGCTGCCGACACGTTCTTGGTTTTATTGCGTTCCATTTTTCAGGTTTGACCTTACTTTGTTTTACTAATTTCCTAAGGTCCTGATATAAAAAAGTTGTTGACACAGCTCAAGCCAATAAGTGAGTGCCCATCTTCATTCTGGCTCTTACGTCATGAAATAATATAAATTTGCTTTTAATGCAGTATAATTAAAAAAATTCTGCAAAATTAATATTGAATATTACATTGGCATTTACTAAAAGTAAAAGCTAGTTAGAGCTGAAGGGTTTTAGGTTTAATTTTTTTAAATGAGGCTTAATTTTCTTATTTTCTTTATAGGAAGTATCTTGTTTATAAAATATGACACAAACAAAATAAAATGGGCCGTTTTAAAAAGCAAATATTTGGAGGCCATTCATATTTCTAGCCAAATATAAGGGGTTTAGACTTAAAACTTGAATTATTCATAGTTTATTTTAAAAAAGGTTTAAGCTTGTATTGATTTAATTTAAAAAAAATAAGTCTAAGCTTATTTTAACTCAATTTAAATTTACTTGTCACAGGAATGCCTAACCTAAGACTCAGAATTGGTAAAAAGAAAATTGTTACCACACCAAAAGGAGTTTTCAAACATGACAAATTCGTTGATAGTCCATTTGGATCTAGTGGTAATAGCGGCAGCTCAGAAAGACATGATCGATTGTGTCATTCCTTGGATAAATCAAAGTAAGTTTTAATATGTATTGCAGCAATAAATAATAATTTTATCAATATCACTCACATTTTTTTTATATGCCTTATTGATTATCAATCTACAGTTATACCTTCCAATTTCCCTCCATTTTTTATTCTCATAACTTTAGTTGGATAGAAAAATAACTACTGGGTATTAATTAAATATTTTTTCAGGGAAAATTAACAGAAGTAGACTAAAAAAGTTGTCTTTAAATCAAATGACCTCAGTGTTAAAATTTTTTTAAAAGAACTGCAGTCTGAGTGTGCACAGAGGCGTACAAACACAAAGCCTACTATTCTGCTATGGTGTTGATTTTTGAGATACTATGAATCTTAGAGATTACCATAAAATGGAAGAGAACATGGTAACAAATTTATGAAAGATCAAGATGGAAACTATATGACATTCAAGTAGTTTGGTCATTCCAATAATATTATGATGAATTAGGGTCCACCAAATAATCAGTGATTGGCCATTTTGCCCATTCATCAATAATCAGCATTTTTTTAACCAATCAATTGGTCTACTGAAAATTTTTTTTAACCAATCAATTGGTCTACTGAAAATTTTTTTTAACCAATCAATTGGTCTACTGAAAATTTTTGTTAACCAATCAATTGGTCTACTGAAAATTTTTTTTAACCAATCAATTGGTCTACTGAAAATGCTCCAGATATAAAATACTGATGTACATTATTTAGATTCAATAGAATATTGGATGTTTTTTGGGGATTTTATAAATTTGTAACAAAATAAGGCACTGAGTGTTCTGCCGTACACCCCCTTCCCACTCCTCCCACTAATCATTCCCAATCATGTTTTATTGTGGGATTTTTTCTGTATAATTTTTTCAAGTGCCGACAATAGCTTGAAATCACCAACTCTTTGGATACTTTTTGGTTATTTCTTAGTTGTTAAAATTACACTAGTGCGATGTCACCTAATTGTCTTTTTTATTGCATAGATTGCTCACAATATTTCTTCCATAACTGTGCATTTAAGTATATGTTATGAATTGAAATAAATTTTGAAGTGCATTAGAAGCATAAAGATTTCTATTTTATACATTTGATACCGTGAGAATTCTGAGAGTTTAGAACTTATTTTATCACATGGGTGTTAAAGTAGAAAAGGGATTGGGAAAAATAATTAGTGACTCAGTTGATGATTTCAAACTGATTTGTTTTATTTCTTCTTAGTCATTCCGAGCATGCAAGTTCAACAGATTTTACACTGTTCACAGAAAACTACAAAGAGAATAAGGTACATTTAGATGTTATTCTCTGTAAACATAACTTGAATACTTAAACTGCCATGAGTATATATTTGCAATAGATTCTGCTTAATTGGGACACATGAAGATCAGATGTGCCAATTATCCAAGTTTTAATTTAAATTATTATTGAAAAACAAAAGTACTGAAGTACATGTAAATGAAAACCTTCTCTTTTTTTTATCTCTAATTGAAATTTTGGATTTTAATTATGCTATATATCGGTATTTAAAAAAAAAAATCTGATTTCGCATTTAAAATGATTTGTTACACTTATATTATTTATTAAAATGTCATTTATTTGTTTTGCAGATTCAGAGCTTTACCAAAAAATTAAAGGGGAGGAAAAAGAAAGTAAAAGCCAAAAAAGAAAAATCAGCCGAATCTTTGCCAAATGTCCCAGATTTCTCTGATTTTGACAATTATGAACTGATCATTGAAAGCTCTAAACTAGCCACATCCAGCACACCTAAGTGTGAAGGGAGGGCAGCTCTTCGATGTCTTTCACAAAACATTTCAAACATTAGTCATGAAGAAAATGCATCACCACTTCAACGACTTTCTCAAAATATGTCAAACATCAGTCATGAGGAAGATATGCCGTCCTTTCAAAGTCTGTCTCAAAACATTTCAAGAATTAACCATGAGGACGATGTGCAGGATTCTGATAGCTGCAATCCTCAAAGCTTAATTAGTTTAAAAAATGTAGAATCTTGCAACATCACTTATAGGCTGCACAAGCCTACCAAAACTATAGCTATAAAAAAATGTGGAATAGACCCTAAGGAACTTTCTGACATGTTAGAAAATACACAGATGTCACTGTTTTGTCCAAATGGGAAGGACAGTGGTAAAAGCAGATGTCATTCAAGTTTGGAAATTATGGAGTCAAATTGTTCTGCTGATTTGTTTGAGGAAAGTGAAAAAGTTTTGGAGAGCCTGAGGTCATCCTTAGCTCTAATTGAAGAAGAAGAAGACAGCACAGCGGAGAAAAGTGATCAGGAAACTGACAACAGATCTCATTATTATGTTAAGGTATCTTCAGATGAGACAGATGATGAAGGTTGTGTTGTTAAAGAAGATGAAGTGGAACTAAGATCTGATGATGGAAATGACATCAATTTGAGCAGACAAAGTCTTTATTACTCATATATGAGTTCCGAGTCATTTTCGGTAAGTATTTTTCCCCCTTATATTTGAACTGTAAATAAAAAATAACATAACTCTGCATGTTTTCTAACAAAACTTATTTCCATTTTCTTAAGCCCCCTGAGTGAAGGAAATTAAAAGATGTAATAATGTAAGCAGTAAGCCCAACTTAAGTACTGAAGGAAATTAAAAGAAGTAATAATGTAAGCAGTAAGCCCAACTTAAGTACTGAAGAAAATTAAAAGATGTAATAATGTAAGCAGTAAGCCCAACTTAAGTACTGAAGGAAATTAAAAGATGTAATAATGTAAGCAGTAAGCCCAACTTAGGTACTGAAGAAAATTAAATGAAATATCTAAATTGTGGTAATATTGATTAATTTTAATGATTACAGTTGTTTTTTAAGCCAATCATGCAGGTTTTAAATGCATTTTTAAAGCAATTTGGAATCAGGAGAATTATATTACAGAGTTTGTCTTAACAATTATTTTCTGAATTCCATTTTTAGCAAAAACTCCTTCACTCAACTTTAGACAGTAGTGTTTTAGCCTCAGCTGAAGAAAAAATATTGGAGCTGTGTGGCCAGGAAGAAGTGATCACTTTTTCAGAATGTTTGCCTCAAAGGTATATATTTAAAACTTTTAATTTATCTCTGCTGTTCCTTTTGACCATGTGATGGTGTTGAGCAGACATGCTTGTTGTCTTTATTTTCTGGTTATCATTTCTATTAAATCATACACATGATTCAAGGATAGTTACAACTGTTTCTATAAATGAGGACAAGATATTTCTCTAAAAATTAGAATTCCTGAAGCCATTTTATTTTCCACAGAGTATAATTTTTTGGTGTGACCTTGCATGGCTTTTCTTCATGGTTTAAAAAGTTGGTAACAACTTTGTTGGTTTCAATTTACATCTTGTTTTATAAAGCTATAACTCGGCAACATTTAGTTTTACAGCACAATTTATTGTAGGTCATGTCTGGACGTTAGAATGTCAATTCAATCAACCTTTTGCTATACTTCATCTGGAAATCTTGTGCATTTTTATGCCATATTAAAAGGAAGAGTAGGAATGTTGAAGCTCTGATTAAGTTTTAACGCCTGTTTAGCTGTGATTATTCATATGCAGCCCCGATTTCTTGAAAAACTTTTCTCTACAGGATGTTGTCCAAATGTGTTAAAATAGGAGAAGGTGTTTATGGAGAAGTGTTCAGGACGTACTCTGGCAATCAGTCTTTGGCATTGAAAGTAAGAGTTTCAGAGAGAAATTTTATTTTGGGATAAATTATGAATATTACATTATAAAGTGAACATGTTCTTCCTGTTCTCATCCTTCTGTGTGGAGGATACATTTCAAAATCTTAGGGATGTTTAAGCTTCTTAGAAGCTTTTCTTTGTGTCATGCTATAAATATTTTCCTTCAATCATTGTTCCTTAACATCAACACTGCATTTTCCCCAACAGATCATACCTATAGAGGGAGATTTCTTAGTCAACGAATGCCCACAAAAGAAATATGAGGAAATTTTGCCAGAAATGGTTATAGCCCAGTGAGATTGTGTTTCTATATTATTTCAAATACTTGACTAATTATCACTATCCGGTAATAGATCAGTTTAACTTTTAACATCAATATCAATTTAACAGTCACCCACTGATTTCTACAATGTCAGTTGGATTTCAAGGTCATTTAAGCTATAACTTATAATTTTGATGTTAAGGATTCAAGTTCTGGGCTTAAAAACCCCCAAAAAATTTACAGTTCCATGATAATTGGAAACATGAACTTTTTAATAAAATACTAAAAAACATTGGGATTCATACATGTTTATATACATATACACATTTAATTTATTGTTATTTTTAAAAATACTAGTGCGCTGGTTAACTTGATTTCACCAGACACATCAAAAAGCTCTGTGTTTATATTCCAGATTGAAAAAAACTTAATAATATTGTACATCAACAGGGAGCTGAGTAGTCTGGCTGACAGTGAAATCAACACATCAGCTAATTTTTGTCAGGTTAAAAGGTCAGTACTTACCAGAATGCTTTTTTAATGTCATATGACCAGAAATAAGACTGTTTTTTTCCTAATGTTTATTTAAAAGTTTCCTGTGTGCAAAAAAGATTTAATAAATTTCTTGGTGCTGGATTAATGAATTAAAACATTCTTGTAGACATAGCTTTTGTATTGAAAATGGCTGTTACTTCATTAAACTTTGATCAGTACAGATCATTTGGTCAGCAGTGGCTGACATTGAATTTTTATATTTAAAATCTGAATTACTGAGTCATATTTAATAATCACTTCTTAATGTGGATGTTCTTAGAATGTTGTATGTCAAGGGACAGTATCCAGATGTTCTTTTAGAGCAGTGGGATCTTTACAGTAAAAACAAACATTCTGAGAATGACAGACCAGGTGACAGATTTTTTTATCTTAGTTATAGTTAAGGCTCAGAGGTTTGGTCAAATTAAATTTAGTTAAGACCAGTGTAGGATTTGAATCTGATTTCCAAACAACTTCTTTCTTCAATCCAGAAAAGAGGCATGTCTGGATTACTTGAAATATTTAACTTTTCAAAATCTGCGTACAGGATTAAACAAATCAATGTATTCTTTTAAAAGTTATATCTTAAAACATTGGCGCTCATACCGACAACAGGCATATATTTTTCTGGTGGATTTTTAGTAGTTTTAAATTTCTATTATTAGGTAGTGTTTTTTATGATTCCTTTAAGGCTGCGGACTATTCGTACCCGGGTACCAGAAGCGAGAGTGTTTGGAATTAAAAAACTATTTTAAATATTATTGTTGGGTTTGTAAGACTAAATGAGGTATCAAATGAAAGATAATTGAATGGACTATATGTTTTTAAACCTACTTATTCAGTTTAATTAAATAAACTACCACAAATGACATCCAAATAGCACTGAGTCTAATGGTACCCGGGTGCGAATGGCGGTGCTGCGTGGCTGGGTCCATTTTGGCTCAATGCTATTCGGATGTCATTTGTGGTAGTTTATTTTAGTTAAACTGAAGAATTAAGTTTACAAAAATATAGTCCATTCAATTATCTTTCATTTGATTCCTCATTATGAGCACCAATGTTTTCGAGTTAAACTTTTTAAAGAATAAATTGATTTGTTTAATGGTGTACCCAGATTTTGTACAAATAGCCATTTCGTTCCTTTAAGCACAGATATTATACGTTTTATAACTTTTTATTCCAAATTATGAAAGTAAGATTAAATAGTCAATGAATTTGCATAATTTTATAAACGATTAACATGGCTTTTAAAAAAACATCTTATTTATACCTTTCCAGACATCTTTCCTGAAAGTCAGCTGTTCATTGTCTTTGAGTTTCATGATGGTGGCTGTGCCCTAGAGAAATTCAAAGTAAGATTTCCAAATAAAATAAATAAATGTTTTCATATTTTTGTAGTTATTTTAATGAAGGGACAGCTGGGGATTAGTTATGTTTATTATTTATTTTGCTATGAAATGAGCATCGTGGATTATTTATATTATATTTTATATTTCATAATAATTTATAGTTATATGCAAATGGAGAGTCTTTGGGCTGATTTTATTGTAGTCTCCACATGCAAAGTAGGAAGTACAAGGTTCTAGTTGATATCAATTTCATTACGAGACCTTTGTTTCACTTAATTTTTTCCTGTCAAGCTCCACAATCTGTGCCATTGATTAAAATATTTTGATCCTACAATTTGGGAGTTGACTGGCTTGTCTCCCTTAACTCCCTTTTAAAAAAAAAACTATTTGAAATTATTTATTTGTAGAAATTAGTGGAGTAGTGCCTCATTTTGGCTCCCCTTAGGTGCACTGTCCAACTGCTAGTCTGACAAGCATAACTTTTTTGTTGCCTATTATCATAATCTACTTTTTTTATAGGGAACCAACATAATATTTTTTCTGTTAGAATGGAGAAAAAAATATTACAATTATCCACAGAACTAGCAAGAAAGGAATTTGAGTTTGTACTTTCATTATTAGTCTGCATATTTTATCTGTTCTCACACACACAGCGGATACTGTTATTGCACTTGACACGAATGGTGTTAGGTTTTTGAACACGTTTGACATTTTAGCCAAAAAATATTTGTCCCTCCTAGAGTTTCTCTGCTATTAAAATGTAATTTGTAATTACAATGTAATTTTACTAACATTTACTTATTTTTTAATAACCCAGATATTTCCCCTAGAAAAAAAAATATTTTTGCTGTTTTCTTTTTCTCTCTAGTTCAACAACCATCTTGAAGCTTTCAGTGTTTTGAGGCAGGTTGTATTTGCGCTGGCTGTTGCAGAGGAAGCTTTGTGTTTTGAGCACAGAGACCTTCATATCGGAAACATTTTAGTAAAGCCTTGCAAAGAAAAGAATGTTACTTTTCAGTTAAAAGGAGAGCTTCACACATTTCCTTCTTGTGGTGTGTTTGCAACCATAATTGACTTCACCATATCACGTCTGGAAAAAGGTCAGTTTGTATGTTCTTATCAGTAAGATGAACATATTCTTGTATTGTTGCGAGACCATTTAAAAAAAATAAAAATAATCAGAATTCTGACATGCTAAACTGGAATGTATTAGACACATGCCTTTAAATATAACAATAGACATTATGTAAATGAAATGGGTCTTTTTGAAATCATCGAGAACTCCTAAGCAATGAAGTAATGCAACAGTTATCACCCTTTATGGAAAGTTAATTATTAAATGGAAAATGTATCATTAAAAGAGTCAAGAATTCAGTAGTCCATTTAAGATAACAAGAATGTTACAGAAAGGAACCTCAAACTTCTTGAGTATGGACAAAGCTTAATCTTAAGTGCAAATTTGTTATTTTCCTTTTCCTTTACCTCTTTGACCATGATTGAATAACTTTAATTTGATTCTATAGATGGCTGTGCTGTGTTTTGTGATGTGGCTACTGACGATGGCTTGTTTGAAGGCACAGGTGATTTCCAGTTTGATGTATACAGAGATATGAAGACAGAAAATGGGTATGTGCTACATGAAAACACTGTCCATTCTCAAACATATCTCCATTTGTTTTATTTATACTCACTTGTCTCCCCTTTCACTATTTTTTTAATAAAAATTGGTTTTTTAAAATAATTGTATTACAATGGTAATTTTTACATTAAGGAGAAATTGGAATTTCGCTTCAAGCTGCCTATCCTTTGGACTTGTTAATTACTTGTTCTTGGAAATACAACTGTTATATTTTCATTTTGTAAATCACTTTACCCACATGATATCAAGTGTTGAAAAAAAAAAAAATCTTTTCACAGCAATAACTGGGAGCCATTTCAACCTCACTCCAACATTCTGTGGGTCAACTACCTCTGCAAAAAAATGGTTACTTTCATTAAGTACAAAAATGTTGGCAGAGACTACCGTGAGGTACAGCGAAAGTTGCGAGGAATGAATGACTACTTATTAGATTACTCATCATGTCTCCATTTGGTTGAGGAGCTTGCATTGTGGGGAGACACATGAGCTGAATATAAGCTAATTAAAAGTATACAGTGAATCTTACAGCAATAAATTTACAATATGCTTTCAGGAGCAACATACTCATTTGCAGTAAAAGAATATGTGGCTATGTAGAAATTACAAGCTGGAAGCTGGTGAAATAAAGTTAATGTATAAACCTTTATGATACTTTAAACAAACACCATGTGAAATTAAAGAAATTTAACTGTCTACAAAAGGAGGGCATCATGTTACTGTCAAAATGGCAATTGGCGCATCAGGCTTCCATACTTTTCAAATGTTAAATGCCTCACATCTCCTTTGTTTGTATTAATTGATAAACTGTGTGGGTTAATTGGACACAGCAATGAAACCTATTATATGCAATTCCTGCTTGGTTCTTTTTAGTCGGAACTCTTGCAGAAATGCTTTTTATATTGATTGGACTTTATTAAATGTTGATTTTGTTGGTGAGAGATGAATAGGTTATCTTCAATGTGAAATAAAAAATATTAAAAAATTCTATGTGTAATACCACCTGAATCAATTTAATGGCAAGCCTGTCCCCAGTTAAACTTTTTTTTTTTAATAGGGGATTTACATATTGAACAGTTCCATATATTTGGAAGTAAAGGTGTTAATTTGTTAAAAATAGAAATATTCAATATTTTCATGGTAAACTAATACATTTCTTAAAACATTTCATTCCAGGTTATTTTGTTACTGTTTTATTTTTTATTTCTTGATGGAACTTCTTTAGAAACTGCATTTAAGATATTTCTGTTTATGCAGAGTCAAGGATGTATATTTTACAAATTGATACGGTAGTTAAACTCTGCAACATTTATCTTTGGACTTTCATTTTCATGAATTGTTTGTTATAACTTCATTCATGGCAGGGGGGGGGGGATTATTTTCCCCTTTGTCATCTATATAAATTTAAAAAAAATATAATTCTATAACTATAGGATAGTAGCAAAATACTTTTTGTTAGTTACGATAAAAGGATTAGTCAATTAAAATTGCTTAAGCAATAATTATGTTAGTAGAGTTTAGGATTTATGAGTGTGATGTGTCTCAATAAATGCGCTGTGTAGACTGAGTGAAAATGATGTTTTAGGAATGAACATTTTCAGGAATTTTGGTTGAAAGAAAACAAAAAAAACAACATAAAAAAAATAAATTTATTGACTCAAAACTGGATTACCAAAATGTTTGTGTAAATTTTGTAAATATATTATATGAACTTGAAATAAACGGTTTTAATGAAATACATTATCTGTTCCTAGTCCTCAAATTTCCTTTTCTCTGTTTCATTCATGTTTTAAGAAATGTTTGATCATCTAATTTGTAATGTAAGCAAGAACAATTCTGATTCTTGCGCTCAATCTCGTGAACACAAATAATTTTATATACCCTCCCCACGGCATACTGCATGAACACATGGCCTCCCATTAAGCCATTTATGGGTATTGAAGAGAAATACTGGGAAGACTGCGTTCAAGGTTGAAGCAATAAGTAATTCACAACTACATCTCTGTAAAACGAGATAAAAGAGTGTTTGTCTCTGTCTTTAACAATGTTTGCTGTCGAAGGCTTTATGGCAGAAATGTTGTCTTTTTGCTATTGCCCTTCTTTAAGTTTTCCCTTTGTATATTTCTTATGTGTATTCAGAAGCATGGTTAATTTATTTCAACAGTTGAAATCATGTAACATGTTATATCCACTAAAATTTATTTTCACTGAAGTTCTCATTTTTTTTAAAAACAAATACCATCATCCATCCCTGTGGCGCTACAGCCCATGTAGGGCTTTGGCCTCACGACTTCCCTCCAAACACTGGTCTTTTCATTTATTTCATCCCCCATAAACTGATCAACTTTGGAATTGACTTTTGATTCTATATTTTAAAATTCAAGCAATTACGACTTAGAGATTTTTGTGTTGGGAAAAATAAATGTCTCAATTTTTAAAAATTTATCAATCCAAATCTGAAAATGTTTCACCAAGACGCAAACCCTACAACAAAAATATGGCAGAACTGTCGGCAACGATTGGTCAAGTACGAATCTCCATCCCCATGTGTACATTTTCCCCACTCCCTCAATGACCCGTGATCTTCATTGCGTGTGGTGTGTAACGTGTGTGGTGTGTAACGCGTGGGGTGTGTAACGCGTGGGGTGTGTAACGCGTGGGGTGTGTAACGCGTGGGGTGTGTAACGTGTGTGGTGTGTAATGCGTGTGGTGTGTAACGCGTGTGGTGTGTAACGTGTGGGGTGTGTAACGCGTGTGGTGTGTAACGCGTGTGGTGTGTAACGCTTGGGTTGTGTAACGCGTGTGGTGTGTAACGCGTGTGGTGTGTAACGCGTGGGGTGTGTAACGCGTGGGGTGTGTAACGCGTGTGGTGTGTAACGTGTGGGGTGTGTAATGCGTGGGATGTCTAATGGTTACACCTATGATCCTACCCAATGGTCACACCTGAAATCACACCCAATGGTCACACCTGCGATCCCACCCAATGGTCACACCTGAGATCCCACCCAATGGTTACACCTGCGATCCCACCCAATGGTCACACCTGAGATCCCACCCAATGGTCACACCTGAGATCCCACCCAATGGTTACACCTGCGATCCCACCCAATGGTTACACCTGCGATCCCACCCAATGGTCACACCTGAGATCCCACCCAATGGTCACACCTGAGATCCCACCCAATGGTTACACCTGCGATCCCACCCAATGGTCACACCTGAGATCCCACCCAATGGTCACACCTGAGATCCCACCCAATAGTCACACCTGAGATCCAACCCAACGTCCACACCCGATATCCCACCCAAAGGTTCACATACATCAGGCCCCCACCCACAAGTCCCATACTTGAGTTCTCCAGGGTTCATGTCCTGGAAGGATTAACAAAATCCCTACCTCACTCTCGTGGCATAATGATGTCGAAAGTCGTATTTGTCCTCCTTTCTGAGTCACCTGGCAAGTGCATCACACTAAGCATCAAACCGTCTGGCCTTACCGCAGCCAGCGTTGCGTGTTGAGGTCCCACTCCCCATATCCTACGTTTTGTGTAAAAGTTATTGTTACTCATTTAATAGCGATCCTTTATTGCCCCCCCCCCACCAATTTCTATTTCATCTCTCAATATTTCTTGTTTAAAAGGTTACATTAATAATAATTCGATTCTTTTACTGTGATTAGTACAACACACCGCATAATAATGTGGGACGCAGGTTTTAGTTTCGAACAACTCAACAAAACATATACCGCTACCTGTTCTGAACAGTGAGCCACTTCGAGATCTTCGAATACATAAAGATTTATTCTTTAATTTAAACTGTTATCCTTCGGTTCTTGTATTGTATCGTCTGCTGGAGAAGGCATCTAGCCAAAACGTCCTCGTGTCTCTTTTATTTTTCAAGCCCTAACAACATTTCTTGTTCCACTATTTATTTAAGACAAGATACGATTCTTTATTGATCAAAATAAAAAAAAATCTGTTTTTTTGGTACTTGTTTGGTTTTTTTTTTTTGGATTACATTGTATGTATTCATTTTCAGCACATAAATAAATATATATTTACACTAAGACAAAATTCTACAATTACAATTCAGACAAGAGACATTTGGATTGGTAAAAATATTTTCTTTTTGCGTCATAGACAGGTGTCGATATTAAAATGTTTACAGTCGTTCAGACTGTCGGGCCTAAATAACCCACAAGCACAAGTTGTTTTGTTTTTATAAAACCAACAAAAGTTTTTTCATAACAGTTATTATTATTATTAATTCTCACTAAAAAAAATTGATCATGCCATTAAAAAAAGAAAAAAAAAATTCCCAATGTCAAGGACGTTAAGAGTGTTAGTTAAAAACGAGCTGCAACCTTCGTTCATTTGACCCCCCCCCCCCCCCCCCCCCCCCCCCCCCGCCCTCCACTCGCCCGCTTTCGATCGTCTGATAAACAAACGGTTAGCGATTTTAATTGGGGTCCCTACAGTGTTTTTCCGCGGCCCTTGTTTCAATTTGCACATGTAAAACATCCGTCTAAGCTGGCCTCTTTAGTGCCGCGTGTACACCTAATTTGATGACGGCCAGGGTTAAGAGACGGGCCACCGTGTTTGTTTCCCCGCCTTAAAATAAACTCGGCCACGGAGCCCGAGTCTTGCACGTACCCAAGTGCGCCGATTTACATGCAGTTGACCTTTGGGAACTCGTCTCTTCGGTTTATGAGCAATCGCAGATGCCTTGAAAACATTTCGCTGCTTGTGATCGCCGAGCGTGTCATTTACTTGGGTTATATAGAATATCTACGGTCCGGATGTCTCCTTAGTCTCCTCGGTCGTAGAACCGGAAATAAGCGATTAGTGGCATCATTGTCAAGTAAATATTGGTTTTAAGAATTTGTATTGATTAAACAACCACTAAAAACAAAGTTTTTCGTTTAAATCCATTTATAAAATGTAACATCGAGGAATGGGTGTGGGACTCATAATTTGACAAAACATGCATACAAGTAACACCCTTTATAAAAAAATCTATTCAGTGCCCCCCCCCCCACACACACCCACACACGCAAAATCACGACTCTCATTTATAAAATGTAACATCGAGGAATGGGTGTGGGACTCATAATTTGACAAAACATGCATACAAGTAACACCCTTTATAAAAAAATCTATTCAGTGCCCCCCCCCCACACACACACACACGCAAAATCACGACTCGCAACCGCATATTTTTTTACACTCCCCCTAAACTATATTAATATTCTAGTGACCAATCCGCTTTTACACCGCAGAATTATTTCATCAACAATTTTAGTAAAACAAAAGAAAATATAACGCAGTTGCGATATTAAAAAACACAAAAAAAAAACCAACAAA